TTTGCTACTATTTGGAGAGGCCTATGTCCATCAGTGGACTGCTATAGGCTGATGATGATGATGATTTTCATGTTGTAAGCACCTACTAAGAAAGTTTTTAAAATTTTAACCACTAAAGGGTAAAACAATGGATGAACGGTTGTATGAAAGTTCGTCATTTTCAAAGCTAGAAACACGAAATATAAAACATAGCTAGTTTGTTGTATAATTGTCAAGTTTTCTTGATTGATATAATTGCTAGTATTAAATCTGATAGACTTATCGCACTCGGCGATTGTTTGCAGACAACTTTTATTGTTCAACAGCCTTTAACAGTCCACTGCTGGACATAGGCCTCTCCTTAGAAAGGAGGTTTTGGCCTACTATACCACGCTGGCCAGACGGGTTGGTATAGGGTTTGTGTCAAGTTTTCCTTCTCTCTGCAGTGCTGGTGTCGTGCATATTTCGCTCCCTTAGTCGCCTCTTACGACACCCACGGGATGAATAGGGGTGGTGACACTCTGTATTCTTAATCCGTCACCACACGGAAAACTTTTATGTTGAAATAAACAATTAAGTATACAGATATTAAATGGTATACTATAATTGAGATGCCTCTAATTCATTTTAGTTTCATTAATAACAACTAGAACAGAAGTTTCCACTTAACAAGACACTTTTATAAAATAAGACTTGTATTAATTTTTTGCCTTGAAATAGCAATAATGTATAATAACAATTTGCTCTAAATAAAACAGCAATTAGAATGTAATTTAGGAAACTATTTTTACTAAATTTTCATAAAACTATCACATATTAAACATTAATCACTAGTTTACCAATTTTCTTATATAAGGATAAGACTCACAATTTGTCTAGGTAATGATTAATGTTGATTTAAACAAACTACAAAAGTATTTTAATATTTAACTGAAATTTTGTTTATTTACGAATTTTTAACTGCCAACCGTACGTAGTTTTTGCATGTTATTTTGCAAATTCGAGGACTGACAGGAGATGAAATCATATATCGATATAATTACCAGTTATTTAATTACCATCCATATGATTTATTAGCCTATTAAGATTATTTTTATTGATCATCTTTCATCCGAATAATCTCTATTACAAATTTTGATAATTTCTTATACGATTCTTAAAGTTTATTTTTGCGACAAACATTAATTCTAAAAAATATCTATAATAAAATTTCGTAGTAATAAATTGGCCTGTTGGTCTAGTGGTTAGTGACCCTGACTGCTAAGCCAAAGGTTCAATTCCCACCCAAGACAAATAATTGTGTGATGAGCACGATCATTTGTTTTGTGTCTGGGTGTACTTTGTCCATAATATGTATGTCTGTAGAAATATATAAGCATGTTTATCAGCAGTCTGGTCGTGTGTGAGATGTTTTGAAATCATTATTATTATAACTGTTAATCACAACTCTCAGGACAGTAGGAAGCGGCGAGATGACCGCTTAAACTATTAAGCTATCTGTGCAGTAATAGTTCCAACAGTTTCATTATAGTTAATAGATAATTCAATTCCGAGGTAACCAAGGTTACCTTTAAACACGTTTTATGCATTTAGGCATATCTGCGTGAATAATGATTTGGTACGCTTACCAAAAAATTGTAACGCTTAGATTACTTTAATGTTACACACTTGTAATAATATTTAAACTTCTCTCAAAGTTAATGGTCAAAGTTTCGTGTGATATATGTGACTGCTTTCTGCTGCTTTGATAGGTTTTTCAGAAACTTTAGACATACTGTTTTCTAGTGAGTTAGATTGTTTGATATATGTAACATACTTTGAATGAAAATATAGACGGTTAAGTTAATTATTCTACTTCAAGAGAAACAATCGTACAAATACCACTTTAAAGTATTGCATTGGCAATATACTTTACAATAATAATATAATTTATTTCAGAAAACTTGTTCCTACAAAAACAATAATTCATTACATCATTTCATCATCATCATCATCATCCTATCGCAGTCCACTGCTGGACATAGGCCTCTCCCATTGCACGCCACTTAGATCGATTTTGGGCTTCTCGCATCCATCTTTACATCATATCATTAATTACAATTTATGTAAAAATAAAGAAATAAATAAAAATATTAATATTTGAATAGATTATTACATTACTTCATTAATTAATATTCAAATAAAGACGTGTTATAAAATCAAGTAAACAATCATAAAATAGTTCATTTTTGAAAAATAATTTGTTTGAATTTCTGGTAAAAAATAATAAAAATATGCTCGTAATAGGAAATATTTAAAATTCTTTGCAAATGAAAAATATGTTAAAAGAAATAGTAGTTTATATTTTAATTTTAAATCTGTAATCAAATTTCGTTTCGTGTTAATTTCGTAAGAATATTAATCACTAAATGACCTTTGTATCACCATCCCTTATTCATCCCGTGGAGGTCGTAAGAGCAGACTAAGGGCAGGCCGCAGCTTTTGCGTAAAAGTATATTTTCTAACCCTATTCTACTTTTTTTTTGCTGCAGCTCTAGTAATATTGACTCAAAATTTCATGATATTCAGTTAAAAGCTTAAAATAAAAAAGGACAATATTTTATTTACAATTTCTAATGTAGTAATTCCTAATGTACCCTGACGATACACTTGCCATTATCTAAATGGGCTAAAATTATAAATAACAATTCCTATGTCTGCCCGTACTCGAGTGTATAGGCGTATGTGTATCTGTGTATGTGTGTATGTGTGTATATTGTTTAGACATATACAATACGAACTATATTTTTTTTAGTATTCCAAAACCTTCTTTCTAATGAGAGACCTGTGTCCAGCAGTGGACTAGTAAAGGCTGTTGATGTGATGTGATGTGTATTTTTTTTGGAATTTATGCACTACGACTACTCGTAGTACTAGTAAACAGTACAGTCTTTCCTTTGGTCGTCTGTAAAAGATCGCCGACTGCCAGATTTCTTAATGTCTGTGTACGATCTCACTATCGTACATACAAATAGTTTTTACTATTTTACATATTGATAACTAGCTTAAATAGTAGTCTATGTCCTTTCGCAAGAATTACACTATCTCCATAAAAATATCATTTAAATCGGTTCAGCGGTTAGTAAATCCCCATACAAACTTCCACCCCCGTTTTCACCAATTTAAAGGAAAATTTCTGAGATCAAAACTTTAATTTGTCCCTTCATGGGACTCAAACTATCGCTATACCAAAGTTTATCTAAATCGGTTCAACGGTTTAAGGTAAAAGGTAAAATACAGACATTACTATGGATTTTGTGCACACGCTGGGTCCTATTTTTGGGCTGTGCGTTGTTATTGTTACAAATACATTAATAAATTCTTTATAAGTTAGTACACTATCAACTATTAGACTTAAAAAGCACAATCAATAAAGATTCGCTACTCTATACACTTTTATATAACTTTACTAAACTACTACTTAAATATATTTATGTTGTCTTTTCTGTATACTCAATAAACCACTAACTTAACTACGAGTAACTTTTCAATTAAAAATAATAATATCTCACACACGGCTGTCTGATCCCAAACTAGGCAGAGGCTGTGCTATGGTAACCAGATTGCTGATAAACATACTTATATATTTCTAAATACATACATTATATAGACAAATTACACCCAGACACAGAACAAACGATCGTGCTCATCACACAAATATTTGTTCTTGGTGGGAATCGAACCCACGACTTCCGGTTTAGCAGTCAGGGTCACTAACCACTAGACCAACAGGCCAATTACACAGGCCTGTACATTATGTTTCTAGATTTTACAATACTCCTTTGGTGTTTCAATATAAACGCACTCAAATAATCTAAACCTGTAAATTTATGTTTTGCATTTAGTAATCATCAATCACTCACTGACAACTTCCTAGTTATGAATGCAAATTAATATTGTCATATGATAATGTGGTAATAACGAGTTCAAATAATACTCACAGGTAATTATTAATTACCTATATTAATAATAGTACTCGTTTGATAAATTTAATATTACTTATTGATTTTTAATTAAATTGAAATTAACTTTAACGTCCTACCAATATACATTTTAACATACATATATAAACTCAATTCTATTTCCTTTCATAGTTGTAAAAGACAGCCGCTTTGCGTACTTTAAAAGTTTCTTCTATTATTAAACCTTTTATATAAGGTCGCTGGTTTTGTACTTCTGACAAGGGCAAATGAAATATTATTTTAGGTAATTAATGAGTTATAATTTTAGTGATAAAAAGTACGGTAGGTAGGTAGGTACGGTACCGTTTGAAGGTAGGCGTCAATGCTAATAGTTGCATGCAGTAACAACAAGTAATCTTCGCTCGAAGGTAAAATTAGTTATTCGTTCAGATTTCTATATTTTATTATGTTAATATGATAGCAGCTTTTCTGCGAATTTGAGCGAATCTTAGATAGGCTAGCTTATAGTGATGATTAAATACCTGAGAAACGGCAACCTAAAGATCAATCAATTACGGTCTTTATTAATTTTGCAGTATCAACAGCCTTTAACAGTCCACTGCTGGACACAGGGTTCTCCTTAGAAAGGAGGTTTTGGTCTACTATACCTCGCTAGTTGGTATAGGATTTGCGTAAAGTTTTCCTTCTCTTTGCAGTGCTGCTGTCCTGTGTAGTTTGCTCTCTTAGTCGGATTTTACGACACACAGAGAATGAATAGGGGTGGTGACACTCCGTATTCTTTATCTGTCACCACATTGATTTGCAGCAGTTTAAAGAAAAAATTAGCCTTCGAAAAATTTAAAAAAAAAATCTATATCATATCTTAGTTGCAATTTAAAATCCTATAATAATCATCTTCGTTACAGTTTTCCAAAAAGTAATCCCAATGTTGACTTGTGTTTTAAATTACAATACGGTGATCGCAGGGAGGGGGGAAAGTTATAACCCATATAATACCATGTTAAGTTTATTCTCAATTGTGAATTCCAGTAAATTTAATGTTATTTTTGTTTCAGGACAATGTCAGCAGTGTTCAAAATTGTAGCGGCGGTCGTGTATATATTCGCGTCCGTAACTCAAACGCAAGCCGGTACTTATGGACCGCGATCGGAGTTTGGGTACCCTGCTGGACTTATACCTGATTGTAAGTATATTTTATAAAATAAAATTTTCTTTTCATTCTATGGCCAAAAGAAAGGTAGGCTTTTCAAGTATATGTGTGTTTTTCTTTGGCATGCTCTGTAGCTTAAAAGGATTGATACTTTTTTGGTGTTTAAGGTATTGTCAGGTTCGTTTTAATTATGTAACGCTGGGTCTTTAACATTAAAAAATATCTTCGCGTCGGTTTGTAAATTTTAAGTAAATATTTTCACGCAGTGGAGGTCATTTTTAATTTTTTTCAATAACCAAATAGCTTGTTTATTAGGCATTTCATTAAAGGCCACAATTTTTAATACATTTATACATACTAGAGATCGTGTGGTGGAATATGATTACAAGTACATTTAAAAAAAAAATAGCACGTAGTATATACTGTTTAAAATTTAAGTTTTCTGTTTGTTCCGTTTTCAATGTAAAAACTCTAAGTTAGTCCCAAAATTGTCTTGAATTGCATAAAAAGAATTGTCTTCACTTGTAAAATATAAATATTTATGTGTATATTTATGGTATAAATTATAATGTAATTACTCAAGACGATATTTTAAAGACATTCTTCTCTATGGACCAGATAATTAAATAGGGCAGTGTAGGCTTATAACCCATTTACCCACGGTAAATTAAACCAATATAAACTTCTAAAGTTTAAATAAAGCATTGCTAATTAATTATTGTGAATTGCCAAACAATTATACATCCTTTAAAAAGGTGTGAAGCATCATCTTAATTTATGTATAAAAGTAGAAAACTATAAACTAAATTCATTTGGAACATTAAGCCACAATACTATTTCTAGGTTAAGAATTATAATGATTCTTAGCTATAATGATCACACTACGATTCATTCATAGTTTTCCAACCAATTACGATATTTCCCAAACAAATATTTGCTGTTATAATAAAACAAATAACAAAAACTTTAAAACTGGATCACTGGTTCTCGAGTAATGAGCACAAAAATAAACAAAAGTTATTTACAAAACATTTACACGTTACGAGGAGTGTTTGAACGAACGGAAGATTATGGAAATCGTTACCTTATGATATTTACTGACGAGATTCTTTGACATGTTTGTACTTTATTTGTATATCGGATACGTAAGACGTGTGAGTACTGTTAAACGGTTAAACGGTACTTCTTTACACAACTTCAGCTAGAGGAGTTACTTAACATAAATACGAGTACCTCGGTGGTGCAGCGGTAGCGCATGCGACTGCTTTGCTGAGGTCTCGGGTTCGATTCCCGGGTCGGACCAAATGTTTCAATGTATAATATGTATGTATTGTGAGTGCCGACAGAAGTGAAAATTTGAATATTTTAGATTCTCGATCTCGATCTCGATCGATAATCTTTTTTGATGTAAAAAGTTCCGACATGTATATATGTATATCTATGTTGTACGTATATACCTATTTTACGTATATAACATATAGAGTCAGTTCTATTATCAATGTATTTCAACCCAAACTCAAGTCTCGTGTAAATGGGGCCAATATATTTAGATACATATATACAGAGGTGTCGGTAACAGTGTCGCGAGTTCAATAGTTTTTTCCCCATCACAAAAATACATTCTTTTGTTTGTTGTTAAAAAATGCCAAAACGCGCTTAAAGAAGTTTTCACTTCATAAAGTATTCATAAGTATTCTATCAGTCAATGTAGCTTTTATAGTACAAACTCTGTTTAGTTTGAAACTAGAATGACATTGTGTGTTAAATACCCGAAAATATTATTATTATATAATACTTATACTAATTTCGAAAACAATAAGGGGCCGGGTAGAGTCACTCCAGACAATGTAAAATAAGGTTCGAAAAGACATTCCAAACGCAGATAGAGCGAGATAACACATCTAGCTGATAGCAAAATAAAAACATATAGGTATCGACTTACTCATAGAATTACTTTGGATTTTCACTTAGTCACTTTGGATATTCGTTCAAGAAAAGAGCTTACTGAAGCTCTTGGCAAACCAAGCTCATTAAGCAGGTATAGAGGAATTTAGCTAGTATACCCTTTTTTTTTTTTTTTCCGTGCGCAAAACCCCTCGGATACCACCTGTCGGTGGCATGTCGGACTCGAACCGACTAAAACCGCACGCCGTCTCGGGTACTAATAGCCGGGGAACCAGGTATACCCTAGAAAGGAAGTCCCTGGTACCCCGACATACCTCGGGTCATCTACAGACGAGTAGACGACCCCCCCCGTGTGGGAACCCCATGTTCCCTGTGCTCCCTGGAAGCGAGCGCGCTTCGCAACGCGCTCGCCGCCACCCCGGCCTGCTTCTGCTAGGGTGACAGATGGCCTCACCTGTCACCCCCAGGCCTGCGCTTATGGAGGACGGAGGTCGTTCTGCGACCTCCGGCGCCTGAGTCGCCTGCGGTACCTGGCCCGTTCCCGGGCCTGGCGGGCCGGGAGAGTCCTAAACCTCTCCCGGTCCCGCTCCGCCGTCTCCTTCGCGAGCATAACTTGCTCGCAGAAGGAGACGGCGAACTTGTTTCTAAAGCGCCTAACAATATGTTAAAGAAGTATAAAAAGAATCAAGAACCACTGAAGTATGTTTTTACAATATATTTAAGAGATCCGGTATTTATGTTTTACTTCTAAAATAATGTAGTCTATGAACAAAGAACATATTGGTCCGTGTGGTGACGGATTAATAATACAGAGTGTCACCACCCCTATTCATCCCGTGGGTGTCGTAAGAGCCGACTAAGGGAAAAACTACGCAGAACAACAGTACTGCAGAGAGAAGGAAAACTTGATACAAACCCTTTTTTTTTTTTTTTTTTTTTTTTTTTTTAACGTGTGGAAATCCCCTCGGACCGTCACCCCTCCGGGGTTTGCGGCGGGGTGGTGTGTCGGACTCGGACCGACTAAAACCACACGGTGTGCCACTCTGCGCCTGTAATAGGAGGGATCCGGGAACAGCTGTTGTTAAGACATCCGGACCCCTCCTAGCGCCAGCCCGCTCCAGGTGCGGGCTCCGTCTCGATGTTTTTCCTCTCTTTATAGGCGACGTCCGGCACACGCGGACGCCGCCCCCTCGCGGCTGGCCAAACTAATGCGGGTGGAGGGGAAACCCACCCCGTCCACCCGCGGCCACACTCAGGGCGGCATGAGGCTGTGATAGCCGGGCCTCCGCCGCCCGGTTCGCCGGCGGCGGATCGGGTCCGAGTGGAGGTCGTCCTCCCGGGCCCTCTCCGCCGCCTCCTTCCGCGAGATTACTACCTCGCAGAAGGTTGCGACCGCGGTAAAACAACTGTCGCTACCGGCCATGGAGCGTACTACGGCCGGTAGCGAGAGATCCACTCCGATGACTGCAGTGAGGGCCCGGCGCTGCGCCGCCCATGCGGGGCAGACCGCCAGCGTGTGCTGGGCCGAGTCCTCACTGCAGTCGCAGTGGTGGCAGGCGGGACTCAGTTCCCTCCTAGCGACCGTGTGCAGGTACTTTCCGAAGCAACCGTGCCCGGAAAGCACCTGCGTCAGTCGGAAGGAAAGGGTCCCGTGCTGCCGCCCTGCCCACTCGGCGATGACCGGCTGGAGAGCCTCCACGGCGGCGAAGCCAGCGCGTGGAGTCTCCAGCCGGAACGACCAACGAGCCACCGTGGCTCGGCGAGCGGCTTCGCGCCACTCGCGCACATCCTCGGGCAGAGGGCGAAATCCGCTCTCCGCCCGGTAGTCAGCCACTCGCCGATAAACTTCGGCGAGCACTTCCGCCTCCAAATCCCACGGGGGAGTTCCGGCCAACGCGCACGCCACATCCGTCGAAACGGTGCGGTAACCGCGTATGGCTCTGACCGCCATTACCCTCTGAGGGCGCCAGAGGCGTACCCTATTCTGGGCGGTCAGAGCCGCCGCCCACACCGGTGCACCGTACAGTGCCATTGACCGGACAACCCCCGTGTACAGCCGTCTTGTCGCGACGCTGGGTCCACCCATATTGGGCAAAAGTCGCCCTAGGGCAGACGCAGCGCCGACCAGCTTTGGAGCAAGCTGTCGGAAGTGCTCGTCGAAGAGCCACCTCCCGTCGAGGATCAGGCCCAGATATTTCATCTGGGCCCGAACCGGTACGAGGACCGAGTTGACCATGATTGAGGCGCCAGGGGGTGGACCACGACGGGGCCCATGGAATAACAGGGCCTCCGTCTTATCTAGGGCCACCCGTAAGCCCAGCGCCTCAATGCGCCCGACCACCAGGGAGACTCCCCCTGTGGCCAGGCGCGCCGCCTCTTGGAAGTTTGCCCCCCGGGCTGTCACGAGGGTATCGTCTGCGTAACAGATTACACCCAGCCCGGGGGGGAAATCAGCGCGAAGGGCCCAGTCGTACCCTATGTTCCACAAGAGGGGTCCAAGAACAGACCCCTGTGGAACACCGCACGACATGGGCCGACACCTCAGATTACCTTCTCGGTCCTCGTACACGACGGTACGCTCCTCTAAATAGTCTGCCACTAGCTGCCTCAGGTACTTTGGCACCCCATGATAGTGGAGTGCTTCCCTGATGCAGCTGAATGGCAGACTATTGAATGCGTTGGCGATGTCCAATGACACCGCCAACAGCACGCCGCCACAGCTCACGGCCTCTTCGGTCACGGCCCTCAGGCGCAACACGGCGTCGACTGTCGAACGCCCCGCCCGGAAACCAAATTGGGCGTCCGACAGATCGGGGCCCACCTCGCAGAGGTGCCGGACGATGCGGGCAGAAAGAACCCTCTCAAACAATTTGCCCGCCTCGTCCAGCAGCACGATGGGCCTATAGGCCGCGACCGAATCGGCTGGCCGTCCCGGCTTCCTCAATAGGACCAGCTTCCCGCTTTTCCAGCACTCAGGGAAGCGTCCCGACGCCAAGCTAGCGTCGAACACCTCCCCGAGGCGGTCTGCCATGTGGTTGAGAGCCAGGGCCAGCACTCGGGCCGGTACCCCGTCTGGCCCAGGGGCGGTGTTCTTGGAACGGATCCGTAGAACAGCCGCCCCTACCTCC